TTAGTTGTGTGCTATTTCATTCATTTGACAAGAGTACTAGGACGCCTCATGGTGAAAGTTCAGTTCCTTGGAAATCACGAGGCCGATGCCATTTCTAACACCAGAGAAACAACTTTTATAGGTACATGGAACGTACGGACAATGTGGGAGACAGAGAAGACCAGTCAAATAGAAACGGAAATGAGAAGATACAAATTGGCACTACTGGGAATCAACGAAACCCATTGGAACCAAGCTGGACTAGCAACAAAGGCTAAGTACGGGAGAGATGCTGCTATACTCCAGTCACAAAGAGAAAAATGCTCCACACACTCAGGGAGTTGCTCTAATGCTGTTCAAAGTAGCACAAAATGCACTTGTAGGATGGGAATCTCACGGATCCACAATCATAAAAGCATCATTCAAAACATAGAAGGAGGGGATTACAATGAATATTATCCAATGTTATGCACCCACCAATGATAGCAACGACAACATTAAAGATCAATTATATGAGAGGCTGCAATCAATCATGGAGAAGTGTCCAAGAAAGGACCTCACCATTCTGATGGGAGATCTAAATGCCAAAGTCGGAATAGACAACACGTGATATGAAGATATCATGGGACGACATAGATTGACTGGGAGAGAGAAACGAAAATGGGGAAAGATTTGCAAATCTGTGTGCATTCAACAAATTGGTAATAGGCGGCACAATATTTCCACACAAATGTATACACAAATTTACATGGATCTCACTGAACCACACCACATCACAGAGAACCAGATAGATCATATTTGCATCAACAAAAAATTCCGAAGAACAATGGGAGATGTGAGAACCAGGAGAGGAGCTGACATAGCGTCAGATCATCACACCACCTAGTTGTGGCCCATTTAAAACTGAAGCTGAAGAACAACTGGACTAACAGCACTACAACGATTCAATACAGCCTTCCTTCCAGATACTGACAAACTCAATCAATTCAAGATAGCTCTCAACAACAGGTTCCAAGCCTTACAGGATCTACTGAATGAGGAAGAAGAAACTACTATGAAGGACAACTGGAAAGATATCGAAGAAGCATTAAGTACAACGTGTCAAGCGATTCTGTGCCTCAAAAAGCATCATCATAAGGAATGGATCTCTATAGAAACACTGGACAGGATCAAAAAAAAGAAGAACGAGAAGACAGCAATTAACAACAGCCGAACACGAACAGAGAAAGTCCAAGCACAAGATGAGTACATAGAAGCAAACAAGCAAGTGAAGAAAAGCATTAGAGCCGACAAGAAGAAATACGTGGAAGAACTAGCAACGACGACGGAAAATGCTGCAAGAGAAGGAAATATGAAACAGCTTTACAATACAACGAAGAAACTAGCAGGGAAGTATAGTAAACCAGAGAGACCGGTCAAAGGCAAAGAATACAGGTCAATCACTGAAATTCAACAACAGTGAAACAGATGGGTAGAGTACTTCGAGAAACTCTTGAATAGGCCGGCTCCAATGAATCCGCTGGACATTGGAGCAGCGCACACAGATCCTCCTATAGATGTCAATCCACCAACGACGGAAGAAATCAGAATGGTCCATCATCAGACAAATCAATGGCGGGAAAGCAGCAGGACTCGACAACATACCAGCTGAAGCACTGAATGAAGTCAGACATTGTAGTAACTACAAACATGCTTCACGTTCTATTCAAAAAGATTTGGTAGGAGGAACAATTGCCGAATGGCTGGAAAGAAGAACACCTCATCAAGATTCGAAAGAAAGGAGATGTGAGTAAGTGTGAGAACTACAGGGGCATCACACTACTGTCAGTACTAGGGAAAGTCTTTAACAGAATGTTTCTGGTGCCCTCTTGTACCCATATCTATGTGTTCAAATAAATAAATATTTTTTGGCATTGATTGGGAGCACTGATCAACAGTGCACATCCGAAACCATTCTAGGAATCGAGACCATAACTTTTTTAAATTCTGGGTGATCTTTGTTTGTGTATTAGTACTCTGGGTGGATGCCTCCATTTTTACTTTAGTCATAAGTTTCATTACATTTTGTGTGAATAGAAGTGGAATTCTGGATATGTGTTCCGTACAATTTAGGACTCTTCAAGTGGATTTACCTCAATCCTGGTGTTGATGTTCCTATTTCAACTCCTCTGACGAGTCAAAAGTTAGATGAAACTGGTGTCTTAGATTCCACTGTTAACCCTAATATATAAAATCTCAAATTCTGTGCTGAATTTGCACCGTATTAGATTAATTTAACCATGCTTTCGATGATAAGATGCTATTCTTCATCAGAAAAAATTAAAGAGATTGAATCGGATAGCATTCACTATTTCATTTGTAATTAATAGCGTATTATATTCACAGTACATATGGATTGCACATCCAACTTCCTTTCTTTCACTACCTATCTATTTACCTTTCTGTAAATTTGTACAACAAAGGCATATTTAATGTCTTTTTCATATAGAATTAGGCAAACAAAAATAAAGATTTGTAATAGAGTATTTATAATGTTGCATTTATGCGTCGCCGTGTTTACATGTATATATGTAAGTGTGTATATTTTATTTTCATATTAGTACCCGAATAATGGACACATACAAGGACAATGAATGATATATAAATATGAACGCTAGAATGAAATTTTATCCAGTTAAATTAGTTAAAAATTGTTATTGATAATGAAAAAGCTCGCATTCATAAACTATACAACATGTTCTACAGGTTCACAAATAGACAGTAAGAAGTTAATGAATGAACGAGAACACAGAGCAAATGGTAAAAGAAATTGAAATAGATACATAAAATATGATTGTTTACATGTATTTCTATCTTTCCAGTCTGAAAACAAATTCATGATTCATTGATTTGTATGTGTTGTTGTTGTTGTCTGTTTAAAATGAGAAAATAGACTAAAATGTGCTTGTAACGGATGCATAATTCTTAGGTGTATTAATTTAACTACTAATAAGTAGGCAAAAATGAAAACATTTTAAAAGAATCGAATTAACAGGTTAATTATTTAAGGAATCATTCAACAAATTCAATCAACAAAATAGAGAAACAGCTTCAGGAGATTCATTATTGAAATACTCATATATTGCAATGTGTTCACAAATCATTCGATTCCTTAGGGTCATATAGTTTATTTATAATTTGTTTATAATCAGGACTTCCCAACTCATGTGAATGAATACACATAAATATTTTTAGGGAATTTTCAGATTGCTCCTGGTTAGGATTAGGAGTTTATTGCGTTAATATGCAGGTAGTGATTAATAGTTTAGGTTAAAGAACTTGTAACAGGATTAATCTGCGTGTTTTTTTCTAAATCCATCATAACAACAATCGAGCATTTGATATGTTAAAGACTTAGTGTTTCGTCGTCGTTTTTCAACGTGATAAGCAATCTATAAAGGTATTTCCACTTCTTATTTTGGATGACATCACATAAAAGTTATTTATTTTGGTAAATCTAATAATAGATTCAAATTAATTTATCTCTGTACTGTACTTTTAACACTTTTTATGTATGATTTCTTCTATTCTTCTCAAATGTTATTTTTCCTGCTCAAATTTCAACAGTAAAAGAAGAGTTTTTAGAAGTAGGAGATCGTTAGAAAACCAGTATTTAAGTGTTTCGGTATAAGGGACGTATTAATAATTGGTTGAACTTAATTAGAAATAAGACAGCAAGTTATACCAGATAAATCATAAAAAATCTTTAAGCTGAACCAATAATTTCTCTATGATTTACAAAGAACTGTACAACAAATTCGATTCACATGAAATTTTGTTGAATATTTATTACTTAAATTTTTTTTTGTTTACCGTGTATTTTTACCGATGACCTCTGTTGCTATGTTATAGTATGTTTGGATAATATGCGCTAAAATAACATACATGAAGATGCATTAGGTTCTTGTGACCGCTATTCCTAAGTCCTTTCACACATACTAATTGTTTTATTGGAGATTACAATCACTATGTGCTACAATGATCATAGTTCGTATTTAAAGTTTTTAAAATCTGTATATGACCAGTTCTTTTGTCAGATTCATCAATTGGAGTTAATTTTTAGTTCTATGACTTTGAATTGATTGATTTTAGAGTTTAGAAAGTAAATAAAAATATTCACTTCTACTTGGAGTATGGGCAAATGATGTTGTCCAGAGTGATATTGAAAGCCTAATGATTAAATAATCACCAAAAGTTGAAATTTGTTCCTTTCGTTTATTTTATTTACTTTGGATAAAATTTACAAAACTTTCATAAACTGTCGTCTTCAATATTATTAAATTGAAGATTAGTTCAAGATGTAATGATAATGAAATATTCAATGATCTGTTTTGACCAAACGGAAAATAGAAAATATTGTAATGTGTTCACTAGTCATGGTATAGTATTATTTAAGCTAAATTCGATGATAGATAATGTGAATTAGTGATTTCTGGTCTGTTGATTAACTGATAACAACATTACTATTAGGCAAGAGGATATCTTAGGCTAGAACTCATAAAGAATGAGAAGCATAGACAACAGAAGTTCTTGCTCTACATCAGTTACTGTTCATTTAAGGAGTTTTTCCTGCTTTGTTTTAATTGTGTGAAAATATCTTCAGAATTCAAATAGCTTCATTAGATGTGACAAGTTTTCGTACTTGATTGAAATAGTTTCATTCAGATAATAACGTATTGAACAGATGTATAATCACTGGACAAGAACGAAACTCCTGTTTATGTTCTAGCATACTTATATGTTTTATTCAGTACATTGTACACACTGTGTATTCGTATTATTAAACGATTTTTTTTTAAAGAATTACTTTTCACTCCCACTATAATATTATCAGTTAGTCCATTTTACATTCCCTTTTGAAATGATAGGCTTATTTTCCTTTATAAGGTCATATAGCTGTGAGCTGATTGGCTTGCTGTCAAGGTCACAAGAAGGTTAGTTGTTGGGGCTTGATGAATATTGGCATATTATCTATTATCATTGTTTATGTGACATTGATAAATCAAAACCTTTCGAAGGAAGAAAAGGTTTTGATTAGCAAATGAACAAAGTAGGTAAGCTGAAAAATCTTTACATTTAATTCAGTATACATTGAAAACTATAATTATGTAACATATTATTATGAATAATTACACTGTTAAATTAGCCATTATTTTGATAAGAAAAAAACAAAGCAATCGACTAGAATAATGTAAATTTTGTTTAGTTATACGAAGAAATACTTTAGGCTTGTAAAAGTATTCTTCGTCAATTAGTTAGTTAGTTAGTTAGTCAATCAATCAATCAAACTTATCTAGGTAGAACGATGTTTGTAATGACAAACATTCCAATCATGGCTATTAACAGAGTCTAGAAATTCTTATTATTTAATGACTGTCATTCAAATAATAATAATAATAATAATAATAATAATAATAATAACTGATTACTTCAATGCTTTTGTTTTCATAAAAGATTCGAATGATGTATAGTAATCAGTGTTCGAACTCAGTTTGTATTTTGAAAATAATATTATTCCTGGTACTTCATTCAATTTGACATTGATACTTTTAAATAACAATTGAAGATTTTACCATTTACTACATTTACACTTCATAACTATTGACTTTATTATCAGAATAAAAGATTTAAATGAAATGATTATTATGAAATTTAGACATTATTGTATTTCTTGAATTGCAGCGTTAGATCTTTGATAAGATGATAAACGTCCATTGTTAATAATTAACTTTCATCTGTTTATTCTATGTTATTTAGTTTGAAAACCGGTTGATAGAAAGCCATTTATTTATTATTCAGCTATAACTTATGCCTACATTAGTATTAAAAGTGATGTTATTTATAATTTATATCAGATGGGTTTTGTGGATATTGTAGTAATTTCAATGGTTAAGATCATGAGTCAGTTGAAGCTACACCATCATGGAAAACCTGGAAGCATTGGACGACCATTTCGTCCTAGTGTGGGACTCCTCAACAGTGCGCGTCCACGACCTCGACCCCTGCGAGATGCGAAAGCAGGACCTACTGGTTTCGCGCGCGAGCACTTAACCACTAGACCGCTGAGCTGGCATCCATTGGTGTTAATGTCTAACGTCAACTAATCCACGAAATTGAGCGACACATCTACCATTGTCATCAGTGAGCAGATATCTCACAACAGACCTGGTTGAACTCCACTGGTCACTACTTTTCACTAGGATCTCACAATAGAACGAAACGGCCGTCCAGTGCTTCCAGGTTTTCCATGGTGGTCTAGCTTCAATTGACTCATGATCTTAACTGTTGAAATTATTTGTAAATTTTTTTAAAAATATTACAGTCAAACTGATTAAGTGATGGATAATCTTGTGTAGAAAGAAATCTATTGTTAAATCAAGTTTATTAATGACAAACAATTGAGTTTTATTACAGCCTATTTTGAGAATTCACAATGGCGTATATGACAGACAGTAGAGGATATACGACTGATAATTGAACTCATTAGTTTAAATGGAAAAAGATTTTGTAAATGAGGGTTTAACTCAAATAGTTTTACCTGTATTCGGAACGCCTGACTATTTGTTTAGTTTCCTGGGTGAATAATGGAATGGAATAACAATAGTGTGTCGTTAACAATTACAGAAAAATAACTAGAACTCAGAAATTGAAATCTGTACACAGGAAGCAGTAAAAAAGAACAAGTGTAGGTAAAATCATAAGTTTTTGTATATCTAAAGAAGCTTCAGATTACATAGAGATGAACTTGAATTTTATCTTGATTCAATATAGGGAATATATCGAAGAACATCTGGGGATCTTTGACTCTGAGTATGACTTTTTGTGGGATCTTACATATAAACACTTCTACTGGTATTCTGCATTGGCACTATTGTTTGATCTAGAAATGAAATTTTAAATGATTGACCAAAATTGTATACTTCAATGTTGAATATTGAGAGTAGTACTTAAAAGAGTGATCATGTTCCATACAAAACACTGACTTTGGTATTTTTAATTGCCCGAATCTTATTCTGAAGTTTCATGTAGTTTATATGTACGTATGCCTGATAGTCCTTAACACTCATATTCTATGATTATTGTTTACATTTTGGATGAAAAACATCTAAAAATCATGGTGAACTATGTAATTATTTCCATAAAGTGACTTATCCATTATCTTGAAATGGTTAGTTAGATCCAAAGAATCATAATAAATAATGATACATTCTTTAAACTATATCACTTATGATTCTTATTTTGTGATGAGATCACACTCAACTTTTTTCATATTTCAGAACTTACCAGTCAAACACTTAGATTTTTCACACTCTGTTAGTTCCTTCACTTATCAAACTGTTTCATGTACACTGAGATGTGGACATTTATTTATTGTCTGTGAAGCATATCTTGTCCATGATTAATTAACAAGACAAGTAATGAAAATGAAAGCTTAAACATCTTGTTTGTAATATTGTTCAGAGTTCAAGAAAACTTAATACAAATGGGGAATCGGTAAATACAGATAAAAATCAACAATCTTGAGAACTGTATGCTAGATAGTAGGAAGTTATAGACAGGAAACCCTGGACCTAGCTTTTGTGCTAGCTAGCAGCAGTTAGTAAGGTGTACCTTCAGTCTTGAGTTAGTAAATTCTCCATATGATATTCTAAATTATAATTAGTCGGATCAAGGTTTTCTGCCGACTATCTGCATCCATCTAACATCTAAGAACAGTATACACGATATAGAATCACATAATATATCGCCGCATTACAATTTGATAGATAGAATTCAGTCAAGATCAAATGACTAAACAAGCATAATGTGGTCTCTACTCACTGGTTAATTATAAGAACCATACGATGGCAACAACAATCAACTGATATGGATCAATAAAACTGTCAACACATATCTCTTAAACTTCACTGAAATATTTTAATAACGATTTCAAACACCATAATCATTCCAACATGCAGGTATATAAAAATATCCTTATTTTAATTCGATGTTATTACGACATCATTTACTTCTTCAATATTTCTTTTTCAAAAATGTAATCTCATTTAGTGCAATTCATGAAGTCATTGCCTGGTCTGATATTAATATTAGCATTAGTAACTGTGCTAGGTGCATTGTTATTTCAAAAAATTGAAGGTCCATATGAACAGCGATCCAGGACACACGTATCTAAGGTGAGATTTATTATAATAATGAGATATATATATATATATATATATATATATATATATATATATATATATATATATATATATATATATATATAATTTTTTGATAAATGGGGGTACTGAAATATTTATGGTTTCCAACACAACGGCTACAATGAATTCCTTCTTGCGTTATAAACAGTGAATATTGACTCGGAGTAGTCTCGAATGCATGATGGATTATGTGGGTCATGTGTGACGTTGTTGGGTGAGTGATGCACCATGTAAATACGCCTGTACATAAAAAATGATCATCTACGAGTACCTGATTAATAATTCAATCACCAAGCCAGATCATCTTCCCTACTCTCATAAATCAATTATCCTATGAGTTCGTTTTGTTCTTGGAATGTAAAGAGGTCATGCGGAGATGATAAAAAAATGTGGAACATCAAGGTTACTGAAAATCTCTAACTTTGAAGGTTTCCATGAGTGATTCGAATGGTGAAAATTGTGGTAAGACAAGTGTATTGCTACAATTAGTGGGGTTATTTAAAGGACGATAAAACTAATTTATCTTTAATTTTGTAAAATGAAGTTTTTATGATTTTGATTCATGTGTTTATTGGATAAACTACGTATATTAATTACATCAATGCTTGTAATATGTATTTAAGCTTCATCAACATTCTCATTTCTATATAGTCTAATGTCTAGGTCTTTCTATGATTTAATTGTAGATAATTTGGCTAGTAATCTTAGTTAATTGTTATGATAAACTTCGAAAGTATAAATGAGTATAGAAAGTTTTTTTAATTCAATTTGGTATATTATTGGCTCAATATATTCTAAACAAGACAGTCTGATCATAAATTAACTTGTTGAAGTATTTATTTGAGATATGGAAAGGTTCACAGTTTCTACTTCAATTCAATGTAACCTAAGGTTTGATCATGGACCTCTTTAATAGAATCGACTAAATTTTTATAAATCCTGCAACAGAAGATGGAGGGAAAGCGCTAAATCAAATAGTTGTGTAGCATGGATATTTTTCGAAATGTGTATACTGATGGTGAGGTAGTAAAACGGTGAATCTTTGAGTTCGTAGTATCAGTAAACCATTTTTATATGACAGAACGCCCAAGATCCAATACAAAATAAGACTCAGAACCCTAAGATCCAGTTTTCAGTCGAACTTTAAATATGAAAAATAACTCGTAAGATATTTTTGATGATGTTAAGACTAAGTGAGTATTTAGAGAAGAAAAAGGAAACACCGGGTAACTTGTTGACAAATTAAAAAGGATTTCAGTTATCTAAGTATCGTTATAATTAAAACCAACCTATAGTCTTACACAAAGGATTAACTTTATTTAGAAAACTAATTCAGATTAGGGAGATAAAGAACAGATGTTTCGCCCTAGTTCGAGACTCCTCAGCTTGCTCAGTCACAGCCTCTTCGGGTCCTGTAGTAAGCAATTAGTCCTCAGACCAAAGAGTTAGTTCGTTATGTTTCATGATTATAAAAATAAGTTACTTTGCAAATTTTAAGGAGTTCTTGTATGAACTACTCGGACAAAATAAATGGAAAAACAAAGTTAATCACCTGTATTTTGATGAAGAGGATGAAAAGATTATGTGAATATGGGATTAATTATCAAGGTATCGTCTAATCAGATAAATGTGAAAAGTTTGTCAATCTGTTTTCAACTAAAATATCAATATTCAGGGAAAATTTACAACTCTCTTGTTATGAAAATATCACGATCAATTTATTATATAAACATCTAATAACTACTATTTTCAACGATTTCTTAGCTCCCTATATAACTTCATTGCCCTTCACGATCCTTTAGGCGTAGCCATCTTCATTTCTAAGGGGTTTAGTGCTCATTATTTGAATATTCCCAACATGTATCTAGATAACACAATTAGTTGATTGATTGTAATTCTGATCTTTATAAATTCGCTTAGTTAAGATGTGATTGGTGGTTTTATTTTTGTGTTTAATAACAAATCAATATTTTAACTAAATTTTCCATTGGATATTGAATTTAACCTTAGATATTTTTTAGGCTAGTTACACATAACGTTGGACCAAAATAAAAATATCGTTTATCATACTTAAAATAAATTCATTTGGTATTGTTTATTTGAATTTTCCGATCGATGTTTAGGACTGCAGTTGATCAGCCTGTTATTGGCATATGTACATCCTGTACGGATTGCCTCAATATTGCCTTAATTCACAAGAAGTATAGGCAAAGATGTATGGTGGTTTTTAGCAATGGAATACGAGACGCGCGTTTTGTCCTATTTGAGATTCGTCAGCTGGATGTGCGTGTGTCCCAGCGTTGATATTCACTCTGGGAATCGAACCCAGTACCGTTCGCTTCAGACGGTATAGCGTTACCCAACTAGCTGATCAATTGCAGTTCTAAACATCAATAGGAAGATTCAAACAAACATTGCCAAGTGAATTTTAACGCCACTCTAGTGCACAAGCAAATGGCTATCAGAACTCAGTAGCCAATTGTAGAACTCGATGACGTACTGGGTCCAAGTCCTAGAGTGGACATCAATTCTGAGACGCGGGTATATCCATCTGATGAGTTTCAAACAGGACGGAACGCTTGTCCTGTATTGCACTACTAGCTACCATCCATCTATGCTGCTTGAAATTGGTTGTTTTTATTGTATATTGTTTTTATAAATATATTGCATAGGAAAAGTCGTAATCAAAATTATTTCGAACATATTAAGGTGTTTTAAAATATATCCATTATAGTTGTATATCATAAAGAATTAAAATATACAATATCATTTTATTAGAAGCTTTTTATTTAGACATAATTTGAGCATTTAAAATCCAAAATATTATTCATTCATACAAGTTTTTCAATAAATGAAAATTGTACTGGTGGTTTCCACTGTTAGGTTTAAACAAACAAAAACGATAATTTGAGTAGAATCGCATAGGTTCTCACCAACTGCTTGAAATGAGTAATATTTATACATCAAAAATTAAAAATAAACATGAGATCAACAAGTAGAAATTAAGTTGATCTAAGGTTAACTTTGAAAAAGAGCATCAGTACAATATCGAAAAGCTCTAATTGTTTTAATTGGGCAGCGCACTGCTGAAGAATCCAATAGTGGGAAGAAACGGCCATCCAGTACTTCCAGGTTTTCCATGGTGGTTTAGCTTCAATCGACTCATGAATTCAGCTATTAAATTCTAAAGAAATCATTTGATTATCTATTGTTAAATGTTCGTCAACATACAAGAATTACATGAAATACATATCGTGCTCAATGATCTTTAGAAATCTGTGATCGTATTGATGGAGGATTGATTTAACCAATTGAGTTGGTCACTATGTGGAATATTTACGAAACATAGTCATTAACAAAATTTAGGTTTGAAATAATAATCTTAATGGTCAGATGGTGGGGATTTGTAGCTCAGGTGGATGATTTTGATGGAGTTTTGTTCTCTGAGCTGGCTGGTTTGGTCGTGGGGTTTTCATCGTTCTTCTGAACGGCATTATTAGCACAACCTTCAGGTAGAAGTGAAGTGTTCGAATTTTTCCACATATAGTTCAAAGCTTGTCCTGTACACATCAATGTTGACTGGTTCTTGTTGATATTAAACCTGTCATTGTTTACTTCTTTGTTTTGGTTGTATCTCCTATTAGTTTGGTTTAAATAATAAATAATATTTATAGAAAATTTGCATAGTCTTGAACTAAATAATGTCAAGAAAAGTGTGTATTACTAAATATTTAGTTGGTCTCATCTCATTCTAGTACCCTTATTAACCCAGTTATCAAACTGTTCAATGAGTTAATTCCAAATCATTAAAATTTTCCAGTAATCAAGTTTATTTCATCTGCCGTCAATAGTTGAAATGATAAACGTCGATGATTATGTAATATGTCAAGTATTCGATTTAATTGTGATTTGTACTGTAGTGAACGAGAACTCAAGTGGGAGCAATCGAATGTGTTTGAAGACAACCTTACAGATCATCTTACCAAACTCTGAGAACCATACAGTAAATACTTAATTTGCAAAATATTAATCAATTGTTTCAAATCTGACTGTTCCTTTTTCAAATATCAGTCAGTCGTCTCCAACTTCATTGTTCCTAAATTTTAATACCAGTTGCTTTCTGTTCCTATTCTTTCCTTCTCCACCTTCTACTGCTAGACATTCTAATCCTGACTATCGTTATATACTACTCATCTCGATATAAATGATACACCACACTACGACTAATTAATTTTAAAAATATGTATAAACCCTTCTTATTATCACTCCAGATAATTGTTCTTTAGATTAGACAAAAGAGAATTGAAATTATCATTCATCTGTAAACTACAGTGATTATTAAGTTTAATCTTTGAAAAAAAGCCAGTGTTTAATGTGATTACTATCATTACTGTTATTCTGAAAAAAGGTTTTCTATTTATATTATCATCTAATTGTGTTTATAAAACAATCTTATTCTTTTTCTTTTAAGACAAGGCAAAAAATTTTTGTCCTAGCTCAACAGTTAGCTAAAAAAGGTAGTAATGCTGATTGGTCAAAATTAGTTGCTCAAGTGGATAGATATCGTGAGAAATTATATGAAGCATGGTTATGTGGTACAGATGAATTAACTATAGATATACCGACAAAATGGAATCTTTGGGGTAGTATCTATTATTGTTTCACATTATTTACAACTATTGGTAAGTATAGTTTATAAAGTTTTATTTGTGTGAAACTTAACTAAAATACTTCAGTGATGATGACATTGACTATGATAATAGATGGTATGGGTTCGAGTCATGTAGGGAAGAAGGTTAATTATGCGCCTTGTTAGTGAATGTTAACTACCATGGAACCCCAGTTGAAGGTTTCTTATCAAGTATTTTCAGTTACCTAAGATTCCCTGAGACCGCTTTTTGTTCTTTTAATACTATTGATTGTTTTGTATTTCCTCTTGGAAACATCGATTTGAATAAGGAAACACTAGCCTCAATTAAATTTAGGTCGAAACTTATTATATCACTAATATAATACCTTTTTAAATTAATTTGAAAGGTGAAAAGATGAAATTACAATACGGTCAGCATAGTTTACAGTATTAAAACAACGAAGTTTTGAAGGTTATTTTTCTTTACGGGTTGAAATCAGATAATAGATAGTTGAAAATCTGGGAGTACTGAACAGCTACTTCGTCGTGGTATGGGACTCTTATACACTGCTAACCAAAAATCTGACCAGGGGTCGAATCTAGGACCTTCGGTTCTCATTTCGATCGCGTAACACGCAGACCAGTGAGTTAGTATTTAACTACCAGGATATGACCCGGAAATCATCTGATGATATTTTGGTGTGGGTTACTTATATCCACACAGGTAGTATATAACGGTGGTCAGACATGGAATGTATTTCAGTAGGTCGATGAAGAAAGAACGGGGACGGAACGCAGTTGGTATGAAAACTCATGAGCAATGAAATCTGAGACAGTGGATTGATGTTTGCAACAGGAACAGTCAGGTTTGATATGATGGATTGATATTTTGCAAATTAACGATTTACTGTATGGTTCTCAGATTTTATTGAGATGTAATTTTGTGCTCAAATACATTTGATTGTCCCCACTCGTGTTCTTGTTCACTACAATATCAGTTAATAATTGCTTTACTTGTCACTTGGTTAAACTTTAACAATTATATCTCATCAGATCTTAAAGTATCCCTCTTAAAGCCAGCACATTATTAGAAGGGTCATGGATATTGGTTTCGTTTTCAGAATAATAAATCTTTATTTGTACTGGCCAAGACATTATGAGATGTAACAAAATATCCATCATAACAACAAGTTAAACCCATTATTATATAGATAATTTGTTTCCAATTGACCTGATTATTGAACTTCACTTCTGAATACATTAAATGAGGTTGAGTTTACATCCAGATTGAGATTATTTGATTTATCGACCATAAAGAAATGTTCTCTTCCTACTGACACTAGATAAATTCAGATACATTATAAGCACTGCTTCCAAGTTTTCAATGGTGGTCTAGCTTCAGCTGACTCATGATTTCAACCTGTGAAATTTCTAAAACTCTCCACAAAACCCATTCTGATAATAATCAACTGCTCACTAGTGACTGATTTCAGGAAAAACTCCTGGAGTTCTAGTGAGAAGCCGTTACCAGTGGAGTTCAACCGGTCTGTTGTGAGATAACAACTCACTGAATACAATGGTGTACGGTGGCGCAACTTCGTGGATTGGTTGAAGTTAGACATTAACACCGTTGGATGCTGGCTCAGTGGTCTGGTGGTTAAGTGCTCGCGCACGAAGCCAGTAGGTCCTGGGCGCGAGCCCCGCGTGGTGCGGGATCGTGGATGCGCACTGCTGAGGAGTCCCATACCAGGATGAAACGGCCGTCCAGTGCTTCCAGGTTTTTAATGGTGGTCTAGCTTCAAATGACTCATGATTTCAACCTGTGAAATTTCTAAAACTCTCCACAAAACCCATTCAGAAATAAATGTAGTTTTGATCTTTTTAGGTTGGTAAATTTTGAATTATTTTAACAAACGATCACATATGTTTAGCTGTTAATTGCATAATATATATGAATATCATCAGTGTAGTTTAGTATTTTAATGAATAAACATTTCAAGAATTAGCTTAAGAAATATTAAATAAACTTGATAGGATTGAATTACTGGTTCATATTCTAGTTTGAACTCATCACTCTTCATCATTATCCATTTATGATTTCGTATTGAATTCAACTTTTACAAAAAGTGAAACATCGTTAATTTATTAAGTCAAAATCAAATAATCAATCTATATAATTTCAGTTTGTTTAGGAAATTATTGTAATTCTATGCAAGTTTATCTAATAAGGTATTTTTTTTTTCACACTCATATTAATTAACTTTACTATACTATACTATACAATATTTCAATTTCATTTACATAGAGATATATTGAATTACATTCATTCATGTAAGCATAAGTCAATTAGTTCTAATAAACACCGATTATATAACTTTTTTTTTAAAGAAGGAAAGAAAAAAGGACAACAAACAAACAACTTAAAAAGTACGATACATCAATAGAATAGTTAAAGGGTCAAATGTACTTTTCATGTTTACTGTAAAAGAAAGAAAAAGAAGATAAAGCAACTATATAATAAAATAGTACAAAATATAAAGGATATAAATCATATACTTTTTCTTATATATTCATAACTATTATTTACTATTAAAGAGAAAGAATGTATTTGTAATATTTCAATGAATGAATATGATATAAATCTAACGTTTCATTTGGCAATTTGGTCTAAATTTTTTCAAGGAAATATACTATCTGTGTATAGAAATCATATGAATCAAAAAAAAGTTTATTATCTTTAACTATGATATTGATCATAATACTTTGAATTTCATGATGTACTTTTCATGTTACCTTTTTCTTCTATTTTTTTCCTTTATGGTTTCTTTTATGATCAAGATTAGAAAGAGGTTCAGAGGTTCTAAAATCGTAATGCATGCAGTAGAGGAAATCATCTATACGTTTACAGAATAGTCGGCCTGTGGAGCCATGATAAAGTCTCAAAAACTCTTTCAACCTCGACCAAATAGCTTCAATATTGTTTATGTGCACTCCGGTTGTTGAGTGTACAAAATGCGACTTGTGGATAACGACATGATGCATATAACTAAGACTATTAAGGAGTCTGTACACGCTCCAAACATCAGTATATATTTTAGTACTTGGCTTCACCCAGTGTTACTGGTGCTTTCATTATCCATTTCGCAATAATTGTCGTAATTTGCCTTAGTTAGGAATTATATATGGGGTTTTCATCACGAACTGACATCAGCTATAATGCCAGAAATTTACTTAACCGAATGGATGAAAGGCTTTTGCGTTAAAATCCGAGATCTGTTATCTTATACCTGATTGATTCGTCCACAAATTATAGTCCCGCCGTTTTATTTGTTATAGCCGCTCAATTATCACGTTTTGTACAAAATTCCCTGTTAACCAATCGTACGTTAGCATTAAGCACTGAAGTTGATGCCGTAACCTTGAAATCTCTAAGACGCTTTTGATTGGCTCATTCATAAATTAGAGTCTCGCCAGAATTTCTTCAAACACATAGGATTCAAAGATTGTTTTTTTAATATAATAATTGGAATAAATTAAAATATCAATAGTAGTATGTAATCGCCTTTTACTATGTCTTATGTAAACATAAATTGTATGATGCTAGTCGGACAAATAACATAAACGGTGTATAATTAGAATTGTATTGATGGTCATTAGATTCTTTGGATATAGGTTAGTTTATTAAAGGTAGTCGACAGGAAATACTGAATTTAAGTTTCATGCTAGTTGATACTGGTCATCAAAAGGTCATTGTAATCTTGAGATAGTTGATGCTCGCTGCGGGACTGGGACTGTTGTCATTCAGCTGTACAATCTGAGAGTTTACCGCTAAGCTGTTCGTGTCACCAATATCATGTTTTCTTTTTAAAGTTTTTTAATGCTGATCAGATTCTATTGGTGAAGTTGAAATGTATCTAATGGTCTAACTGACCTGACATTATGTTAATTATGTTAAGATGAATCTATTTTAGTGTTAAATCAATTAAATCAGATGATAGAAGGCTATTGATTATAATTGTAGTGTTTGTTAATAATAAACAACAAGGTATGCAGTATTATCTAATAAAAGACAATGATTTCAAACATAGACCGATCAACCGTGTGTATGGATACATTTCAATCATAATCCAATAATGAGGTTAATTTGTTCAGTCCACATAATTGATCGATTTTAGTCAATACAAAGAATTAAGTAAAGTATTAATAATAACAATCAAATTAGTTATTAGTATGATTTTCCTTTCTATTTTTTCTATTTAATGGATTATTTATGCTTTACATAAAAAATTTGCTTTGATTATTATTTAACTCAGGTTATGGTAATGTGTTTCCATCCACTGCTGTTGGTAAACTACTAACTATTCTTTATGGTATGATTGCCATACCATTGTGCAGTTTGCTAATAAGTCGAATATCAGATGTTATTATCAGACTGACTAAAGCAATTTATTATATGACACTTGATCCTTCTGGAGTTCCAGTTGGATTAAGAGAAGCTTATCATAGAATTGATGCAACTTTCGACTTTCGAGTAAGTTCAGAGATTATGATTACAAAAAGTTTTAATATGTTAAATTTTTTTATTGTTAATTTTATTCTTTTTCAGTTCCTACAATAAATATTCTATGAAAGATTCATCTTTTAGATTGACTGAAGCTTAGATAAAGATGTCATTTATGTGCAGAATTAAGCGAACTGATGTCCAGTGGTGACAAAGTTGATAATCAACATGATCCTTACAAAAGTTGAACTACTACTGAAATAACAGCTTAATTTAATGCAACTGCTGATGAACTCAAATATTGTGTCAGAAGCATCTGGCCCCGTTTCCTCTTTCTAGCACCGTTCGACATAACTCCAAAGATTATATGAGAACTTAACTGTAATCTTGATTTCACTGTCACATGTAACACGTAGTTCTGACTATATGAAAACGTAATCCAAGTTTATTTGGTGATCATATGGTTCATGGAAGATTTGCATTTCGTTCAGTAGATGGGTCCTACTAAGTCAGACAAATATTGAAACCTGAAATTCATGTAATCTTACATTTTAATTTATATAACATTCCTTAAATTAATTGTTTGATGATGTTATTCAATTTGCATTACGGACACTCGATGAATGCGAAAGATTATTTACTGATCAATCTTGGTGGTTTATATAAATAATCTCAATGACTTTAGCTAGACATTTCAATGGAAGATCAAGTCACATCACCGATTATAATTTTTGGTTTGGGATCTCATAGATTCATTGAAATTATAACGAACATATTAAATCATCTGGACTAAGACCCAACTATCCATTAAATAACACTGATAAAAATTTTCAGCAACTAGTTAACCTATAGCATGACAGTATGCTAGTTCAGTTTGAAGTTCAAAACGGCTTATAAATATGTACTGTCCAGCAGAAGCAGAAACTTATTGTATCCCCATAAATATGCTCCAAACTGTCGCTGGTTTTTCAACAACAATGTCTACCTTACAAAATCTGAAATTCATCATTAACTTACATACGCCTTTTACCCACCGCCGATTTGAATAATGCCTAGTAACCAGTGATTTCTCATCAATATATTTCATTTATCCACAATAACACTTTATTATCCTCTGTTGGAGTGATCCAGAAAATTGCTTGCAAAAGACAAGCAAGCATCAGGAATCACTAAGATGCGTTTCGTCCAATCAGCGTTCACTTGAAGTTTTTGCCAAAATATCAAGGAAGCGAAACGTCACATGTAGAGGTTCTGATTGGCTGGTTGTTACACTGCTACTATGTTTAGTAGCATTCCAGAATCTTGTAGAAACCCAGGGACATTTTAATTATTATAAAAACCCTGTATTTTCTGTATTAGAATGAACCTTGGTGTAAACTACTTCTCGCATACTTTCAGTCTTCTCTCTCGTGTTCAGGTCGCTGTATAGTTCTAGCTTGGGGGTTACAGAATAGCTTAGGAATCGAATATAGCGTTCAATCCGCAAGACTTATCATCCTCTAATTATTGTTTTTATTGGTTGACTTGTATTTTCAACAACAACAACATTACTTGTTAACATCTTTGAGAATTAATCAATAGTTTATTTATTTAAGGGGACAATGAAAGTAACTTGTAAATACTACTTCATTGTTTTAACAGTTATGTAACATAATTCTCTTTTGTACACAAATATTAACAAAGACCACCAAATTATCTTTTTCCACATGATCAATGGTATATATATATATCCTTCTATAATTAGTTCTACCAAATTAAAATGTAACAAAATTTATCAATTTCAGTAGTTCCATAACTAAGATGTTTTTATGACAAAACTAACTAAGGAAGTCACCAATGAAAACTAAGTCTCAAGTTATCATAAAACAACTGTTTCATAAATAATCTTCAATTATCTGGAGAATACATATTCAAGTATCATAGTTACGTTTTTTCTTCTTTTAATATACATATACATGTATTCATGTAAACTATTTAACTATTGATTTATCTATATTTTTTAACCTAGGTACTTCCTTGCATATTAACATTTGTAATCTATCTAGCATTTGGAGCTGGGATATATTCTTATATAGCTGGACAAAAGGAATTAGAGTGGAGTATTTTGGATTTAATTTATTTCGCATTTATTTCATTATCAACTGTTGGATTTGGAGATTTAGTACCAGAAACTGATGTATTTTTAGCAGTTTTATCAATTATTTACATAATTATTGGTTTAGCAATTACTGGTATTGTATTTGGACGTTTAACTGAAGCATTTGAATATGTTTTATGCGGTCATACTATTGATTCAACTGAAGAAAATCTCATAAATTCTGAACAAAGTTCTATTCAATCAACAAAACTTTTGAAAAATAGAACAAATGTAACACATTTAAAACAAAATTAACTCATTAAACATTGATTATAAAGTAATAAGAAAAGAAATAAGTAAACAATTATTTCATCAACAGTGAGATGAAATCTGAGGATAAACTGAATTATAAAACTATTATCGATTCAAAATATTTTCTTGGATTCCTATTTGTTGTTTGTAAATGAGAACAAAATCATGTTGCTTATCTTTAGTATGTTGTTATTATTAAAAAAAAAGTGCAGTTAATACTCATTTTGTCGGTTTATGATTTTTTTTTTATTTTGTAGAAGAAATTTATTTGAAGAAAACTGTAATGTTAACTTTAGTTAGGAAGCAAGATGAGGTGGATTTTTAACCAAACAAAAAATAAAGAAGATATACTGTAATCAAAATATAATTTCATATTTTTGTCCTGTTTTCACATTAATCCATTACCTGAATGTTCTGTAGATGAATACAAACATCAAAGTCATTAACATAAAGTCTAGGTTAATAATACTTCATTTTAGGTAGTAAAGAAAATCATTTCTAATGTATAACACTAAGAATTGATATGAGTATTTTGTGAATGATACAAATAATTTACACTTGGTTATTGGAATCTGCTTAATCTCTTTCATCTAACATTTGAAGGTAAAGAATGAGTAAACTAACCAACTTACAGATAAGGACAGCGCTCTACTAGTTATCTGAAGCTTACTGACAAGTGACATATAAATAACAATACTATTGAAGGAAGAAACTAACAAAAATGAGAGATTTTAATTTATGTTGTGAAAACTGATATTATATCATGTTGATATTATTTCACATAGTGAATGGCTAATCTTATTTATAGTATTTTTATTTAGCATACTACATAGTTACTGTTATTTATATACACATAATTCCCTTTATCATATTGAAGAGAACAAGGACAAAGATTCACACAGAATAGCATAAATTCATTTGATTTTATTTAGTTCTGATCACCTGTGATATTATAAAATCGCAATTACAGAATGGGTTTAAATTACTTACATGAAAGAGTTTAGTTGGAAGTTACTTTGAGGACACATTAGTATAGTATAGCAAGGGTATAAGTGAATTTAATAGACTGAATATCGTAAAGATATGCCTCATTTGTAAGAACATTCAACAGCATTGATAATAAAAAAGTCCAAAGGGCTAGAAGCAAACGACTACTCAATACGTAAACGCTGATAATAACTAAAAATAAAGTGAACAAAGCTCAGTTAAATAAAATAAGATTACAAATCTCGAAGATAGTAGAAATAAAAAGACGTAATGATGTAATTAGCTGAAGAAAAGAGTTGAAAAAAACTTTAACTTAATAAAGGAATATCTGTCACCAAGGCAAAGAAAAATTTACAACTGTCTTATTTTGAACACATAATTCAGATATCTGACGTCTGGTAGCAACGTCTTCAGCAAAATTCAGGGGACTGAAGCTTGGCTAGCATACGTCGTAGCGATTTTGAGCAGAAATGCTTATGCGAGTGAGTGAATATAGAGGCGAATAAGGAGTCGAAAGAATTAATAAGATTCAAGCATATATATCAGAAAGCAAATAATTCATCGAGCAATTTTATTAGCTAAAATGTAAGCTCGAGAAAAGGATATGTGCGTGGACTGCCATATGTGATCAAGTGTACATGTTTATACAAACATGATAATTATAACAAGACATCAAATTGCCACTGTATGAATAACACTGTTTGTTAAATTAGTTAATTGAAGATCTTGATAAAATTATAGGTAAATAAGTCTAACTGTATGAGAGGTGCTGTAGATCGTTGAAGAATTCTAATTGGTGAATTGCATGCTAATAATAATAAACGCGTACTCCGTTCTCCTGCTTTCGCTTGTACCTTTCTTGGCACGATCTCGGTATTCATTCGATACCACGAGATCGCCAACCGAATAAATCTGGTTACGTTCAACCTTCGCCTTCTGATTTTCTTGGCACGTGTTTTTTGATAGCGGTGTTCATAGTCGATCTCCACTCGACACCACGCTACAGTTTCAAGAATTGGTATTACAGAGAACAAGGATGGACGTACTAGCGACATTCATACGATTTAGTCCGTCAGCAGATCAGGATGAATCTAACATAAATGATGCTAATCTCTGACAGGCTGGTTCTAGGTTATCTGTTAGCCAGAGTGGGACTCTGCTACAGTGAATTGATCATTGAAAGGACAGGTCTAGGGGGGGGGAGACATGTTTGTGTACCTCAAGTGGACCATGCATTTCTGGCAGATATGAGTAGCATGGTCTTAGATCATTGTAAGTAAAATCAGAATCCATTTTTCTTTTTAGAAGTTCTATATTCATGCCTGTGATTCACTTTTTTGAAGCAGTTAAATCTTCGTTGAATTTGTCTACCATTAATCTCAATCGGTTGTTTAGGATTGACTTAATCTTGATGATAGTAATCAGCTGTGTTCATTTGAATGACACTTAAAACTTTATCTGGTTGTAAGATAATTACCTCGCCATTTTGTTTTATGTTCCTCACAGCTGTCGGAAGTATCAATCCTGTTAGTACTTGTTTTTGGTATGTAAAATACCAATCCCAATGGTCACGCTTCTGATTCTATGTTATTAAGCTTCATATTTGATAAGGGTTTTCTGAAAACCCTAAATATAGTTGTTTTTTGTTGTTTTAATTACTGTTCTGTGTGTTATAGGTTGTAAGAAACTGATGAGGGTCAAACGAAATGAAATGACTCCACGGTATTTCGCCGAAATCTTTATTTTTATTATTGTTTATTTGGGTTTTATATGAGGATTAGTTCCATTTGAAGACAGCTTCTATATCTTCAGTCACAAACCCCTGGGAACTGTGAAGAACTTCTGATCAACATTATCCTCTTGTTTGAAATTATTACTGCAATCTTCCGGAGGTTGCCTCGAGGAGTTCGGTGGTTAGGTTTCAGTAGGATATTTGTGTTGGAGCGACTTAGCGTACTTACTATGCTTTTTGCTAGCATCAGATGACCTCTTATAATACTGTAGCCCATGACCTCAAGTGTCACAGCCTATCCTCGTAAGATTTATTCCCCAGCCATATTGTCAACGTTTTTTTAGCAAATTCTATATCTATTTTAAGAGATTTATATTCTCTTAGGAGAAGGGTTCAACAATATAATGTACTTCTAAAATACTTCTGGAAACACAACTGGAGTAGTAGCATCAAATTCTCTCTATACAAAATGAAGAGTTTTACTTACTTTGGGTGAATCCCTTGTGTAGTTTGTGCATGTGTCCAACTCCTTTTTAGTTTATGGTTCTAGATCGTACTATGTGGAGATAATTGTGATATTATCACAGAAAACATAAATTGTTTGTATCTTATAGGACTGAACGTTTACAAAGAGGTATTTCGATAAGTTAAATCTTAACTCATTTTCCACTTCCCATCTCCTTATTATTGTAAGATTCTGTCCTAGGTTGGGTAGATCCTATTTGTTTTATAAGGATTTCCATATCTTGGCATCATCAGTATAGATGAAGGTCGGCGGGTTAGTTTTACCTCGAGAGCCAGAAAGGGGAACAGTCTTAAAACGGTTCTGCGTAAAAATCCTGGTTTCAAAGCTCTCTAATTCGCATGCATTCTGTTTTATTTGATACGAAGCACTAGATCGTCCATGTAGTTCGGGATCCAACACAGAAATGTCACTAAAATCAATCCTCTTGGAATGGCATACTGTCATTGGAAATGGATTTTGTCACGTTCGTGTTACTTACATGGGATCAGAGTCTTCAGTCTCGCTAATTCTTCCCATACCAAAAGGCGATACCAGAGTATAAAGAGTCCCTTGCTTATGTTTTCATGTTCGACTGCATAGCGAAATAGCCGTTGAAGATTTTGGTCGTTTCTAAGTTTATAAAATTTCCATCGTCAAGGTGTTTGAGACCACAGGGACCCTGGTCATTTAATCATAAACCAACTGAGATATTTTGTGTTGATTTATATCTCAGAGGCCAGTTTAGTCTGTAAATATCCACTATTGCTATTATTATTATCGGTGTAAATAAGAGGTATGGCCTTAAAGATTTAGGGAAACTTTCCAAGTATCCTATACTCATTTTTGGCCTACATCAATTGCTTTTCCCTTATATCCAGCCAGGATTTTCTATTAAGAAAGGGGTTTTGAAACCGAATAACATTATACAGGATAGTTTCCCACGTAATACTTTTCACAATATTTTGGTAGTCGTCCGCCGTTAGCCCAACCACTTTTGTTGCTACGGGACGCATTCACAATACTTTATCATAGCTACGTAGTCTTTTCAACTGTAGCAAAAGCATGCAGCATTTTCGTCCCTCTAGGGTACTATGATAATTAGAAGCATCCAAATCAATGTGCCAAGTAAGAATTCCTGAAAAAGTAGAATCTGAGACAGGTAGGAATAGATGGGCACAAATGAATGTTTTATGTTTGAAATTCACAATGAATGGACAATCAAGTAAAAGGAATCATCAATTAGTACAAATAGCACAACCAACGCAGCCTAAAGGGGAATTCAAACATCTGGGATCGATCGTACTTCTTCTCCTCAGATTTATCAAGTGTCTGTTCGACTGTGTATTGGATGTAGACTTTGTATGATCTAGAACTTACTTATTGGTATCAGGATTAACAACCGAAATTGCAACGGGCTTACCTGGGTCCTTATAACATATTCGGTCGTTGTGACCACTTCACACATGAACAATAGTTTTATTGACCTGTTTTACCATACCTTTCGTAGATCGTGGAAAAGACGTTCTTGTACGAAGATCGTTTTTGCTTAATCAAGTTGATCAATGTTTCTTTTGCTGGTAATTCTGCATCGAGTGGCTTTGTTTCCTCTCCTCTCTAAGTCTCTGAATTTTTCAGCGGTAATAGAATGTTTGTCTTCAAGTCACAAGAGAATAAATGGCTTTGGAGTCGTGTATAATTCTTCACACTTTGATTCCGTAGTTAACAGATTATAAAACACTTCATTACAACCGTCTTGAGTGGTTAATAAGGAAACTTCTTTCTGAATCATTTATGGATATTTTAGGATCAGGATAGATGGTCCATAATCATTGATGAAAAATTGACGAGTTAGGATTGAAAATTTATAGTCTAATCGAAAAATTACGACACTTCAGGAAGAACGTTTATGACCAATAATATTCGAAGTATAAACTGCGCTAGGCTGAATTATAGCGTCGGGATTTAATGATTCGAACTTTTCAATTTAACTGATGGACATGATAATCTCACTGTTAACTATGAAATGGTAACAGCCATCATTAGGCCAACATAGTCGTTTTTGAATATGAGGTGAAATACCCAGGTTGTAAATAAGGATAATATATTATTGTTCGAATCGTCCAAATTAATAGGACCCAAACTACGAAGTTTAGTAT